GGTGTCAGGGATTTCAACTCTGGAATCCTGCCCCACCAGCTAGCCCCAGCCTAGTAAGAAATGAGGAACATCTGGAGAGAGAATGTCAGCCTGTGACCTAGAGCCGAAACTTGGCTTTGCTATAATTTCTCCTTTTTGACTCACCGAGGATTGCCAACTTTCAGCAGGGTCTGCTGGGAGCGTTCTCCAAAGAAGCTTGGAAGTTCTTTCCCGCCCCTGCCTCCCACCCTTACCCCAAGGCACTCCTGCTCCAAAAGTGGGCCCAGCCTACCCTCCCACTGTTCAGTTGTTGTCACACCAGGTAAAGGTCTAATGTGGCACAAGGTGACCCCATGAGAACTGTGGTTTCTTAGAGCTTATGGCTTTTCTCTGAATATTTCTCACTTTTCTCCTGTGACCTTTGCAACTTTTCCACCTCATGTTTTGCCATCTGGCTGCCTTGTCAGGCTCTTCCTATGAGAGAGGAATAGGTGGCTTGCTGGGAAAGGGAAGAAACATTAAATATCTGGGGCTTTCTGAGTTGTTTTGTTTTTTTTTTTTTAAAAGATGTTAAATAAACTCTTGTTTTTACACAGCACACCGTTCCGGAAGGCAAAAGCCTTATATGCCTGTAAAGCTGAACATGACTCAGAACTCTCATTCACCGCAGGCACAGTCTTTGAGAATGGTGAGTTTCTCATCCTCTTGCAAAGATATGGGGGGGGGGATGCAAGGAAATAACTGACATTTTCAAAGTTCTTGCCCGGGAAAAAATCTCAGTAGAACGGGTAAGTCCAATACAGAGTGTCTATGTTTGTGTGTTTGTTTCTGTGTCATTTCCCAAAATAAAAGAGTAGCCCCAAGACTTTGGGAGGCCTTGTGAAGAATGGACTAGTGTCCTTGGCTCCACGTTGAGTCATTCTGAGCATTAAAGGGGATCATGCCTGCAGAGGACTCAATCCAGCACCCAGCGGTGGCTTTGCAAGATAGAACACATGTTTAAAATGGCACTGGGCAACCCCTTTGGGTCCCTTCTTACTATGGGAGCTTTGCTGTCCTCTCAATAAATCCTGCTTTCTCAAAACAAACAAACAAAAAGGCACCAAACACATAGCAAGCATTCTGCGTGCTATTATTGTTAAGATCATCATCGTTACAATCATCTTAGAAAAAGCCCCCAATGCTCTCATACCTCTCAATTACAGTTTTTCCCTTTTAGCTAACAGGGCCCAGCCCTGGCTTTCAGCTTGGCAGTGGGGGCAGCACCTGACTCCCCAGGTCCTGGCTGTATCTGCAAGGTCTTGTGTTCTAAGCCAGAGCAGAGACGGGCTCCAGGGGTCCAGCCCTTGACTGCACCCACATCTAAAGGGCTGCCACTCTGTGTGCCTGGTCTGCTGAACCTGTGTCCTCTTTTATGGTTCCCAAACCCAAAGCACTGCCCCTAAACCTTTGCTCCATTACCTTTCATTGGGCCCTTTCCAAAATAAAGCGCACACAGCTAGCTTAGTTCCCCACCTGTCAGCAGCTGGTGCTGTCATGCCCCAAAGACTGCAGGTGCGGTGGGTCTGCTGGAGGCTGTCAAACATCAAGTCACTGGTGAGTGTCCCCCACACAGGCCCAGGTGGGGGAAGCCCAGCCCTGCTGTAACATGACACAACTTTCCCAGCAGACAGACCAGTACAGAATGCATTGCTTGGGCTTCTGTATCCTGCTTTGTCAGTAGGGAAGGGGCTTCTGCATGCAGATGAGCAGGATTTGAGAGATCCCTGCGTTTACAGGTGAACCAAGGGCTTAAAGGTCTGATCTCTGAGTCCCAATTCACTCCTTGCATATGCAAGGCACCACCATGTTCCTGACAGCCATTCATTCTGACAACACAGAGAACCTCAGTCCCAGAGGCAGAATAAACTATCAAAAAGCATGTGCATGTTTGCATATCTTTTTTGTGATTCCCTTCTTTTTTTTTGACAGCTTTATTGAGATACCCACACCGCATGCAGTTTACCCATTTAAATTGTTTTTTAGTGTATTCAGAGTTATGTAGCCATCACCACTATCTTTTTCCAGAATATTTTCATCATTCCCAGAAGAAATCCCTTTAGCAGTCATGCCCCATTTCCCCCAACTCGCATCCATTCAGCCCTGGGCAGCCACCCATCTACTTTGACTCTATAGGTGTGCCTGCTCTGGACATTTCATGCAGTATATGATCTCTGTGACTGGCTCATTTCACTTTGCATAATGTTTTCAAGTTTCTCCCATGTTGTAGCATGAATAAGAACTTCATTTCTGTTTATGGCTAAATAAGGCCCTATGGTATGGACACATCACATTTTATTTAAACTCAATTAACAGTGGATGGACATTTTGATTGTTTCCACTTTTTGGCTGTTGGCATTTGGTGCTCTGAACATTCATATATGAGTTTCTGTGAGGACATATGTTTTCAATTTTCTCGGGGATATACCTAGGAGGGAAGTGCTATGTCACATTTTAACTCTGTGTTTGAGGAAATGCCACTTTACATTCCAGCCTTCTTTCATTTTTAAGTAGCTTAAATGGTTAACAACAACAATAAAAAGACAAGAAAAGATGCCTAGATAATTTTTAACTGCTAAGTGCTTTCCTGCAGGCTGGGTGCTCTACCCAGCAGGTTCTGTGTCTCCTGCCTCTCCACAATGTGGTAATCATTCTAAACCCTCTGCATCAGCGATCCCCAACCTTTTTGGCATTAGGGACTGGATTCGTGGAAGACCATTTTTCCATGGACTCGGACAGTGGGAAGGGTGCAGTCAAACCTCCCCGCTAATGTTAATCTGTATTTGCAGCCTCTCCCCAGTGCTGGCACCACTACCTCTGCTCCACCTCAGATCATCAGGAATCAGATTCTCTTGAGGGGTGAGCAACCTAGATCCCTTGCACGTGCGGTTCGCAATAGAGTTTGCACTCCAATGAGAATCTCATGCCGCTGCTAATCTGACCGAAGGCAGAGCCACGCTCTCCCACCGCCTACCTCCTGCGATGCAGCCCAATTTCTAACAGACCATGGATGTTATGGGTCCACAGCCCCCGGGGTTGGCGACACCTACTTTAAATATTGACAGATAAGAATGGAAGAAAAAGAGTTTGACTTAACGAGCCAGAGGCTTCACCCAAGCCTGCCTGTGGTCTCTAGGAGTCATGCCAAAGTTCATTGACACTGGTTTGTTTTTAACCGGCAATGCCAGTGACCTTTTAAAATTCCCTAAAGAGTGAAAGGCCAAATTAAACCCGAAAGAAAACACCTTTCAGTGTTGACTGAGCTGCAGTTGCAGACGGAGCTAATGAAATGTTAATCAACTTTCTAGATAAGTTTGGCTGATAATGTTTTATTAGATCCTATTTCTAAAGGAAAATGCATAAATATCCTATTCCTTGCTACCTCTAGAGAAAAAGCTAGACACTATAATATACTATAAAAATATACTATTAATCATGTTAGGCAGGGGTGTCTTTTTCCTTGTTCTATGGTTTGTTAGTTTACTGCTGGAGATATTAGGTAAGGGCTATTAAACTTGGATGCTCTGCAGTATCAGATTAAATTATCAGACCAGTCAGAAGCAAGCATGCGTGCGTGTGTGTTTGTGTGCGTGCAAGCACATACACATGTGTTTTCTTTTTCAGGATTAGGAAGAGTGAACAAGGAGGAGGAAGAGGGAGGGGCACATGGAGAGGAAAGTCTGTTGCTTCATAATGATTAACCTCGGAGCCTCTGGATTCCAGCGGCTGTGGGTGACTCTGGAGTGGCTGCTCAGTCAGCTCCTGGACTTTGTGCAGTAGGAACGGTGGCAGTACCTGGAAGTAGCTCCAGTGCCAGCCCTTGCCCGATCTACTAGGAAACTGTCCCCTTCACCAAAAGCACCTCCAACAGTAACTGGAAGGAGAAGTAGCTCATATTCTCAGGAGCATTAGTCATCTGGAAGCAACATGATTAGTGATACCTGGAAAATTCACGTGGCAGTAACTAAGATTGGTTTCTGGGGATACCTTTCGCAAGATTTGAGAGGAGCTGGATCCATTCATTCCCGTGACGTGGCCAGTGCCAGGCAGGACAACCCCACATCTCCTTTGCTGATGGAGCCCCGAGCTGCCCAGAAAGTGGGGTTAGCTCCTCAGGGGGTGTCCTTCAGCCTCCCCAGCTGGCTGCTAGGCCACACCCATGCTCCAGCCACCTCCACCTCTCCCTGGGCATCTCCACCAGCAGCCTGAAAGTCTTATTACTTCCACTCTCACACCATAGCCCCTTCTCTACATGGCAGCAAGAGTGAACTCTGAAAAAGGGAAATCAACTCATGATATTCCCCTACTTACCATTGTCAGTGGCCTCCGTGGCTCTGAGAACACTTGTGAGGCCCTCCATGACCCAGTTTCTGTCCCCCGACCTCCTCTCATCCTCACTTGATACACTACAACCTTACAGGTCTTCTCTATGTTCTCAGATAAGTTCGGCAAACTGTGACCTGCCTATCCCATCCAGCTTGCCACCTCTTTATATAAAGAAAGCTTCATTGGAACAGATAAATCCCTGCCACATATCATCTGTGGCACCTCAACGGCAGAGTTGAGCAGGGAGTCACACGTACTCTCAGCTCCTTGGGAGACACAGGGCACCATTCTAAAAGCATATCACATTTGTCCCCATCTTAGGGCCTTGGCACTGGCATTACCCACGGCCTGGCCGGCCCCCTTGGACCTTTGAGGTTTTAACTTCTGTAGCTCCTGCTAACCAGTCCACATCCTTGCCCCAGTCTCTCCCTCTCCTCTTATCACTGCCTAAAATTACTTGCTTGCTTATTGGTTGATTGTTCCTCCCCGAGAGCAGAATCTTGTCTGCCTGTTCTGTGCTGGGCGCAAGGACATTGCACAGTGTCTGGCACCTGGTAAGTGCCCAGTAAACATTCATTAAATGAGTGGGTGCATTTTTAACTACACAGGGCTCTGCGACTCTTCCAGTTAGGGCTTCTTGGGGGGGTCAGCCGGCCAGTGGTGGTCTTAGTCACACACTTGCTCCTTGTCCATAGTGAGCGAAAGAGAGACAAGGGCATTTACTGCATATGCAGGTGTGTGATGTCTGCGGGGACTCAGGTGAGAGAGGGCTTGGCGGAAAGAACCTCATGTCAGCCGCCACTGATATTTACGATATGCATGCTGGGCTGGAGAGCCACCCTGGCCTCTTGCTGCAACACCTTTGTGTCAACGTAGCACACCGGACACAGGTGCAATTCAGTGGTGAGCACTGGCATAGTCTAGCCCAACAGGTATGGGTACCACTGAGGATCTTCAGAGTGTTGGGTTCAGGTGGCTAAGACCACAGACTCTCGGATCAGATGCCTGGGCTAATCCACCTCCATCGTCTACCAACTGTGTAATTTTGGACAAGGTACTTAACCTCTCTGAGTCTGTTTTTGCCAGTAAATGAGGAAAGTAGCAGAAACAACTCCATCGTTGTCATTCTGAGGATGAAAGGGGAAAATGCAGGTGCAGCACTCACGAGCACAGCGCCTGCCACGAGCACTGCTCAACACACCACTGTCATTCTCCACACGGATCACATTCTCTGATTGAATGAAGGCATGACACCGTGGGAAGGGGCTTGGCCTCTGGAGTCAAACAACCTGAATTCAAAAACAAGTTCTCCCATTGCAACCACACACAGTTTGCCTCTCTGAGCCTTAATTTTTTCATCTGTAAAAAAGGGTTAAGAATAGTCCAAGCTGGGCTCATCAGGGTCAAACGAAACAGTATATGTAAAACTCTGAGTATACAACAGCCTCACAGTCAGCATTTCTAAGTGTTCACGTGTGTTGGTATCATTCATGAGGCAGAAGGGAGCTAATGAAGGTTGTCAAGCTGGGGAGTGTTAGGATACAAATGAAAATGCCCTAAAACACTAGATAGGGAAGCAAAGCTCAATGCTTTGAGCAGCATGTTAATAGGATCCATGAATGCCATGGGGGATGTTCTATGAACGTTCTAGGAGTTGAGGAGGTTGGCAGCAGGTTGAAAGTATTCCGTGATAATATTTATGGAGGAGATGGGGCCTCCGCTAAGCCTGAAGGAAACAGAAGATAACAGAAAGGAGGGGGGCATCTGGTGCTGCCTCGTTCCTCCATCGGTTAATGAGAATTGACGTTTTAATTCTTATTACCACCTATATTATAGAGCATTTGGGCACAGCAGTGTCATCACTCCTAATGATCTGTGAACTAGCTACAATACAGGTTTCTGCGCCCCTCTCCCAAAGTCTGCTTTAGTTGATTTGCCATGGGGTCCACGAATCTGCCGTTGTAATACACATCCAGGTGGCTCCGTGCACATGACCTGGTACTGGGCTTTAGTAAACCTAACTGGAAGACTCCAACCAAAGGCCGCTTTATTCTTGTCATCTCCTGTGTCATATCTTTTGGCCTCCCTTGTCTGCTCTGATTCTTGCCTTAGTCTGCAAATTCCATTTCTAATGCTTATAGGTGTTGCCTCCTCAGTACCTGTGCTGAGTTGGAACAGCTGGCCAGAATGTCTGAAGGAAATGGACTCAAGGCATCTGGTGAAGGAACAGCTCAGCTGGGGGCTTTGCTGTAAAATGGGAGGGGTCTTGTATTTGTTTAACTGGATGGTTGATTGCTTTATTCTTCTTAGGCCCTTTATTTTGGTGAATGGGTGTGATTTGTTTATTTTAGGTTCTAAACATTTGAGGTTTCCTGAAGCTTTGGTGAGTGTTGAGGCTGGGCCCTATGTCCAGGTTTTTCTAGGAGGGTTTGCTGACCTGTCCACGTGACTGGTGGAGTGATGTGGGTCTCCTGCTGACTAACTCAGATTAGCATGTGCCATATGCCTGGCTGTGTACAGAATGCCTTTTCCACAAGACAAGAACCCACTGAAGGGAGGGAGAGTTTTCCTGTTGCTACTTTATAGGAAACTGAAGTGAAACTGAAGTGATCTAGGCAGCTTCAGCTAGATGGATGGACAGGGGCCAGAGGTATTTGGGTGTTATTTAAGGGTGGCTTGGGTACCTGGAGAGGTCAGGTTGCTATTCTAAGTTGTGTGTACTTCCAAGGCATTTTCCAAATAAACTCTTCCTTGTGTGGCTGTCCTGAATCCAAAGTTTTCCTTGCTGTTTATCCCTGAAGCCTTGTGATAGAAACTGATAGATTTGAAGACCAACTAAATAGACTCCAGACTCCTCCAGACTCCAGTCTCTTATGGATATTTGACCTGGTTTTTCCTAAGAAGCATTCATGGTCTAGACAAGTTTGGTGTTGATCTTCTATAAGCCCCAATGCCTGTTCTTTTGTTGCCTCCCATTTGCTTCTTTTGGTTTCTCTTCTTTCTTCGTTCCCTGCAAACTGAAACTAGAATTATCTAGTAGTATTGGGGCAGAAATTCTTTTCTAAAACAAGCTCAGGAAGTTACTTAATGAGCCCAGGAAGGGAATGAGAGAAGTCCATTCTCTCCAGACAATCTTGAAAAATTGGAGTTTTTCTAGTACATGAAAAGTAAATGCCCTACCTCATACCAGAGTTATCTGCCCCAGATCACAAATATGAATACTCCCCCATACCTCTTGGTCCATGATTCCTCTCTCTTCTTTCCTGCTGTTGACTACTTTGCAGGCTTAACTGGATTTTATATCATCTTTATAACATCACAGCAGTTTCCATGGAGATGGATTGTGATGTCACCAAAGTGGATATATATTCTTTAGATCTTGAAATTGCAAAGTGGCAGAAATTTTGTAAGTTGCATAGAGGGAATAAGAGGACAGATTTTAGACTATATAAAGAAGGGGGTAGATTCTGGAGAACAAGAAAGAAAACTAAGAAAGGGTATGGGTGAAACAGAGAGAGGACTATTTAAAGACTGTAAAATGACCAAAAAAAGGCACAAGGAATTTGTAAGAAAATTAGAAGCAGAGAGTAGATATTTGAAGGAAAAAAAGATGCATGATTAGAAGCAAGTATCTTTAAAAAACAGTTCTTAGCAGTCTTCCATGAGCACTTAGTGTGTAGCTGATGCAGGGTTGAGTGGGCGGCTGGTTAGATGTATACTTAGAAGAATGGATCACCACAACTATTGGCCTCTAACCGAAGTAGTAGAAACCTGTTACTTCTTTATTGTTTCAATCAAGAATTTCAGAAAGTCCATGAAACCCCTAAAATTGCATGTAAAATTATGAATGCTTGTGTCTGCTTCCTTTTTGTTGTGGAGAAAGTTCAGAACAGCCTTCGTCAGAATGCTTCTATCCCACAAAAGGTTAAGAGCCCCTGGTTTAAACACGTCTTAGAATTATGTAATTTAACAAGTGAGTGTACTCATTCTCCAGACTTCCTTCGCGCGCACACACACACGCACACAGGTCTATCTCCTACCCTATCTGTAACCTCATCTCTCGCTGTCTCTCCCCTTTTCGTGCAGTCCATCCATCTCAGGAGCCTGGCTGGTTGGAGGGGACTCTGAACGGAAAGACTGGCCTCATCCCCGAGAACTACGTGGAGTTCCTCTAACCGTGGGCCCCCAGCAGACCTGCTGAGCTTACATGGTATCCATGACAACTGCTGATTCCAGTGTTGTAGGCCATTTCTCTTCACCCTTGAGAAATGCAGCATGACTGACTATTGCTGCCTGTCAACAGGACTGTTTCTGTGAGCTCTGGTGTCACCCATCTCCATAATCATCTCAGTCGACACTCGGCGACACTGCAGGAGACAGAAGTCAATCAGCAGAGGAGGCCATTTGATTTTGATAGCAAGCTATTTTCTCATGAATACCCTCAGTAGTGAGCCCTCTTTCTGTTTCAACAGTCATCCAAACCCCCCAACCTGCTGAAAGAGGAAGTGAGATATAAGCAGTCCCAAGAGCACTCTGTAGCTGCATCTGACAGAACTGAGCGAGGGAATTAGTGCCGAGATCCAGGCTGCATCAGTGCTTTTGTTTACACTCTCTGTACCCCACCTCTAAGTACTCAAGCCCATGGTCTGCGGGCAGCTGTGTCTGTACTCATGCACATGGAGTGGGCTTATAGCGCTGTTTGTTTAAGATCCAATCTCTCACCATCTCTAAGGCAGCGGCTGGCCTGTCAGCAAAAGGCCGTCCAGTCCTCTCATGCACAGGAACACACGCCCCACATTTCCCCTTTCCGGGCTAAGAGCGTCTCTGCCACCGAGGGCTGCTGTCACCTAGTAACCACGGCAACCCAACCTACTCTAAACCAAACCCAGAAAAATAGCACGCTCTCTTTGCATGACACGTTTTTTTTCTCTCCTCCTTTTGGGGAGTTTTTTTTAATGGTTTTCCAAAATCCTGACACAGAGGATCAAGGAGTCAGGGTGGTCTACTTGGGGACGACAGGAGGGCAGCTGGGAAATGTTCCTTTCTGGTGCATTTCAGCAGCATCGGGATATGTTTGGAGCAAACTCTAGCAACCTCTTGTTATATACAGGCTTAATGTTTCTGTTCTTCCATTTAACTGGTGTTTACTTTCTAGAGGGTGAGATGCTGCCTCTCCTTGATTCCCCCATACTCCCCTTAATTCACTCAACCCTGCCTGTGCCCCTGCCTTCCTTGACCACCACTGACCAGCCCTTTTGTACTGCTATGGGCTGCTGCACATTGGTGGCCTGATGGTTTTCAAGGCTAATTCCCCAACCAAGCCAATGGCCTATAGTTTAAAAAGACATCTGTGTTCACTGCCACTCAGAAAAAGGGAATTGTTTCTCAGTCTTTCAAGACATGAGATTAATACCATAGGCCATTGTGATACAGGAAGACACCAAGAGGTTGGGACACAGAGGGTGGGATGGGTACCTTCTGAGAAAGAGAATTTTCTGGTCTAAAGGGGCTAAGTTGTATAGAAGCCTGCCTTGGCTGGGTAGGTTCTACCTGAATATTTCTGATTCACTTGGCCTCCAAAAAACGGTCATTGGTATCTCCCATATGTGCGTGTCCTTGCAAGAGTGACTCTGGACAGACAGACTACAAACGGATGGACCATCCAGATCCGCAGAGTCCCCTTGGATGGCAGCATTGCTCCAGAGACTATCTCCTGCTTCTGGAATTCATTAGGGAACTTTAAAGAAGAAAGGAAAAACTTGAATTGTGTTGAATTACTGTATCTTTTACCTTTTTTTTTTGGAAAAAAGATAAACTTGTAAATAGAGTGATTTGAAATACTATATGGCAAAGTTTTATATTTGATATTCTTTAAGCTAGTTGCTCCACACATTTAGGCCTTGATTGCTGCACAAGTGTGTTTAAGAGGGAGCGAGAGGAGGCAAGCTTGAAGAGAGTCAAGGTCATTGTCTTCTCTGTGGCCTGAAAGAAGGAGAAGACATTCCCACGTGCTCACTCTCGTTGTGGGGCGTGACACATCAGTGGTGTTCTATCTGCTTTATTCATGTGTGTTTTTGAGCATTCCTTGGGCTTTGAATTTAGAGATGGAAAGAGCATCTTTTAGGCATTGAGTTTTTCAAAGAACACCCACTTAGTAGTAAGATGAAGCTCAGGATTTAAATAGGTGAAGCTGGGAGTTAGTTTCTTAGTTTTTCTTCTCAGGTGTATTTCTTGGTACCCCCAAGATGTCAGACAGAAGGAGATGGAACAGTTGCTGTGCTCCTTACTTCTTTTAAGGCTTTGTACATGAGACCAAGCTCATTTGCAAATTTTGTACATGTCTGCAAGTTTTAACCAAAACTGGCTTCCTAGACTCTCCAGTTCTTCATGTACTACTCTTCCCTTTTTCCAAAACATATTTCTACCCTTTTCTTTCACTTCCAGTTTCCCTACAACTCCCAAGTAAGAAAAAAAAAGCTCCAAAAGGAGTGTAGATTGTGCCATTATAGCTTTAAAGGTGGCTTTATAGCTAATGGGTTCATCATTGTTACTCATTATTCAAATGATCAACTCAAGGGTTACATAGTGATCATTCAGGAACTCACCAAGAAGCAAGAGATACACCACCATTGAATCATGGAACAAGAATTAAGAAGGGACAAGACCAACATAGTACTCAAGAAAGTTGTCATTGTAAGCCCAAGAAGAAAGAGAATGTACTAATAGGCCAGGCCTGCTCCCTGTGGACTTGGGAACAAGAAGCTGGTAAACGGAGCCTGAGGGGAGAGCCTTCATTTACTGTTGTACTTCCCAAATGGAAAGAGCCCAACACAGTGCTTTGAACACATGTGAAGCTGTAAGTGTCAACTGCCCCATCATAAATTTAATTGGAGTGCAACTGAAGGCCAAGTCCTTGCTTTGGGAGTTCCTTGCTGAAGCATCCCTGTAGACACTCAGCCCCAGCTCAGCTTCATGGAAGCATGTCCCTTCCTCCTGAGTTGGCCCGGATTCAAAGATAGAAGGAAACAGAGCTGCTTCCAATGGGATCTTGTAGGTAGACCCTTCCCAGCTTTTCTTGGCCGCGCTGGGCCTATGACAGATGGATGCTCTGTTTCCCTTTGCCCTGCCAGGCTCCCCTCCTCCCCATTAGCTGCAGAACTGGAGAAACTGTTCAGAAGGTGAGCCAACACCTAGGAAGGAACTTTAAGACTGAAACAGATTTTACTCTCTCCGCTATTCATACTCTGCTTGAATGGGAAACTTTAGGGCAGATTAGGAGAATGAACTAGGCATCAAACTGGAAAACAATTGGCCAGGGTCCCTGAACTTTCTCAAGAGCCTCAGTTTCCTTTGTAAAGCCCTGGGGTCCGTCAGCCATGCCCTGAATCCTTTGGGGTATTGAAATCAGTATCTCATCCCTTTAGCTGTGAATCGGGTTATTCACAGGATTCATCGCTAAAGAATGCCATGCCTTGATAAGAGAACTAGTTTCAAATCCCTGCCCCAGGTAAGTAAAATCCTGATTTGCTCCTGTTTTTCCAAATAAACATGTAGGGATGGACCCTGTGCAGGACTGCCTTCCTTGGCATCCTTGAACTGGAGCCAGTTTTTAGCTTCATGTTTTGATATTTTTACAGCCAACGTGTTTTCTTATGTCAGACCAAACTGTCTTTTCAACCTCATCTCAGTTCTTCACCTCTTGCTGAGTGCTTTTTGGACAAAGAGGCACAGAGAAAGAGAAAATGAGCACCCAAGTATTGACAGACTGGCATCAGCAGGACAGAGCCATGCGAGCGACAGGCTTGCTCCAGGTACTTGCCCAGGACTCCAGGGCTGTGCGCAGCACACCTGGGGCTTGAAGGGAAGTCCTTCTGTCCACTGAGTGTGTGTCTCCTGAAAACGGCAACCTCAGTCACACGAAAAACTCTGTCTCATCTCCAGAGGCTCCAGAAGCACTCATGATGGAGGGAGAAGAGACAGAAAAAGGCAGCCAGGGGTAACCTGACACATGACTGCCTACTGGTGTCTTTCAACTTGGGCTTCTGCTTCCAAAGCAAGTGTGAGTCAGCCTGTGTTACAGACATGGGACTTCCAGATACAGCAGTGGCCAACATGGCATCCAGAGTTTACGCTAGTGTCACATGTTTTATGAGCCTCTTAGCTAGCTGTCTCACATGACCTAGGTGTTCTTTATAGGGAGTTATCTGTCATCTCTGGCAAGCTTGATGATCATCGGTTACCTCGACAACCCTGACCCACATCCCTTTAAAAGCAGCAGGATGTCCTCTCACACACCCTGTGCTGGTGTTTAAAAAATGAATCTTGAACTCAAATGTGTTTGGCAGCCACGGTGATCGCTGATCGGCTGGTGCTGAGGCTCTCCTCTGCAACTGTAGTGTCTAATGACAGCAGCAGCAGAGCAGTGAGTCTTGCACAATCCTACAGCATGTTGAGGACTCCAACAAGTAGTAATTAACTTTTTCCCTTTTGCTGCCTACAGTACTCGTCTAACTAAAGAGCTTCCCAAAGTGTAGGGAGAGGCCACAGAGGGAATCCAGGTGTCACTGAGGCCCAGCCTTCACTGAAACATGGTCTTCTGAGGGAAGCACCTGTATTCCTAGAAGAAAAAGTAACACCAAAACCAAAGAGAAAGGGAAAGGTGCACTGAGCTAAGGAACTTCGGGGGCTTTTTTTAAAAGAAGGATGAATATTGTTTTTACGGGGGAGAAGGAAAACTATCACAGAAAAATTTCACAGATGATATTTTTGCACAAGTTTTGCAGGCCATTACGAAGTGAAAACATCTTTCAAGGTAGAATGCTTTAGAAAGGAAAGACTTGGCACAGTCCTAGACTCATGTAAGGACAGCAGTTACTGTTAACATCAAAATTTGCTTCGGCGTCGTCAGTCAGAACCAGAGTATTGAAGTCAGCATTCCTGGGAGCCGTCCTTGAGAAGCCAAGACATTCTACACCGCTCTGCATCAGCCATTCCTACACAGTTGTCCAAACAGACACCAAGGAGCAGACTTCTTGGGTATCCAGAAACCAGAATCAATGTGTATCTGAAAATACATCTCGTGATTCTAACATGTATATGTACTTGCGTGCATGTGTACGTGTGTGTGTGTGTGTGTGTATACAGCACATATTTACATGTGTAAACATATGCTTGTGTAGAGACCCACGGTTGCTGGCAGCTGCTGAGCCTTGACATCCTTTAAGATTTGGAGGCTGAGATTTAAAGAAACAAGAGGCTGCCGATTGCCTATCAAAATAATAAAAGATGTAAATTAAGTGCCATTTAAAAACCATGTTCATATTTATCAAAAGTTTACTATCTGTAGCTACGTTCCTTGTTAACTTATTTATAGTTATGTTGAAAATCAAGATCAAACCCATACGCGCTTTGTAGCTTATGCTGGGCTAGTGTTCAAAAGCACTCTAAAAGACATTTTGTCCAAATTTTGGAAAGGAAAATACTTGCATGTTTCATTCATAATTTAGGCTACCTTTGAGTATACTGTAAAGTGCTGTGTGATATATATCAATAAAGTACTTATAAAATGGCACTTTAATGTTTTCTTTTAAAAATCATAAATAATGCACTGTTTTAAACTTCAGTATTTGCTGTTGACTGGTGCATAGAATCCAATTTTGTAATTAAAAAGTAATCTGTGACTAGAATAGAACTTTTGCCCTGTAAGTTGAAAAACAGCTTTGCTATGTTCAGGCCTTTTTAAAAATGTGCTTTTGTGTCACTAAATATATCTATAAAGAAAATGCCATTTCTGTTGAGTGGCTTCTGAATCTTGGCTTTCTTATGTTTGGTTGGATTATGTGACAATCCCTATGAAATGAGCAAACGTATGATTTTTGAATTAAATGACTTTTCCATTTGGTGGTAAGCTTGTTTGTTGAGTTTCTGATGGAGTTTGACTCAATGCATACTTTAATATGTCTTCAAATAAGCATGATCAAAGGTCACATGTTTCAGTTCCTGCAGTTATTGGTGACAGCTTTGGTTTTGTTTGGGAAGTGATCAGATGCTAGTGAACTTGAAAATGAGCTCATCAGGCACATGAAACAAGCCCAAAGAGTCGTATTTCACGTAAAGTAAAATTCCTGACTTTATTTCCTAGGATTCTATTGTTTTATTCTTCCTAAATTCTTCTAACCGACTATTTTCTGGAACTTCGCAAACACAGTGTAAAATCATCAAGGAGCCAGAGTCAGAACACAGGCGGTCCCACTGCACAGCTGGTTTGTCAGTCGGTTGTTTAGAGATTGAAACATGTTGTCCCAGGCCAGCCCATGTCACCGAGGCTTCTCATTCATCATGTTCCCTCCAAGTATATTCTGAGCTGTGGCCTGTGACCCAGGCTTCCGGTGAGCTCCCGGCGTGCACCCAGAGCACGGGGAGCTCACTGAGAGCTCAGAGGGGCGTCGGGGTGGCTCCTGGCTTCAGATGCTTGCCCTGGGGGAGGAGAAAGAGGAGCAAGCTCCCGTGGGGCCTGGTTCTAAAGGGGGGTCACTGTTTCAGTGTGCCAGTCACATGGGTGCCTTGTGTGTCCTCATTGCCACTTAGGGTACGAGTCCATCCCTCTGGACAGCACAGACCTGCAGCACCTGCTCCCCCAGAAGCTGATGGCTTCCACTGGAAAGCTCCCTGCCTCCAAATCCTCCTAGACGTGGTGGGTCATCCTCCCCAGGCGAGGCCCATGGAGTGCAGCACACACTCTACTTGTGGTTCATCGTGGGGAGCATGGGATACGTGCTGTGTGTGTCTTATCTGTGTCCTCGCCCTTCCCAGCAGGCTTCCAGTCACGCCAGCCTTCTCATCT